TTTGTCGAAGATTAATTGACCATAGAGTTGAGGATCCATATCTGGGCTCTCTACTCTGTTCCACTGCTCTATGTGTCTGCTTTTATGCCAGTACCATGCTGTCTTGGTGATCACAGCTTTGTAGTAAAGCTTGAAATCAGGTAACGTGATGCCCCCAGTTTTATTTTTGTTTTTCAATATATCCTTAGAAATTTGGGGTCTCTTCTGATTCCATACAAATTTTAGGATTATTTGCTCCAGCTCTTTGAAAAATACCAGTGGAATTTTGATCAGAATGGCATTAAATGTATAGATTGCTCTAGGCAGTTGATATCCAGGATATATAAAGAACTCCTCAAACTCAACACACACAAAACAGACAATCATAATAAAAAATGGGCAGAAGATATGAACAGACACTTCTCCAAGGAAGACATACAAATGGCTATCAGACACATGAAAAAATGTTCATCATCACTAGCCATCAGGGAGATTCAAATTAAAACCACATTGAGATACCACCTTACACCAGTTAAAATGGCCAAAATTACCAAGACAGGAAACAACGTGTGTTGGAGGGGGTGTGGAGAAAGGGGAACCTTCTTACACTGTTGGTGGGAATGCAAGTTGGTGCAGCCACTTTGGAGAACAGTGTGGAGATTCCTCAAGAAATTAAAAATAGAGCTTCCCTATGACCCTGCCATTGCACTACTGGGTATTTACCCCAAAGATACAGATGTAGTGAAAAGAAGGGCTGTCTGTACCCCAATGTTTATAGCAGCAATGGCCACGGTCGCCAAACTGTGGAAAGTACCAAGATGCCCTTCAATGGACGAATGGATAAGGAAGATGTGGTCCATATACACTATGGAGTATTATGCCTCCATCAGAAAGGATCAATACCCAACTTTTGTAGCAACATGGACAGGACTGGAAGAGGTTATGCTGAATGAAATAAGTCAAGCTGAGAGAGTCAATTATCATATGGTTTCACTTATTTGTGGAGCATAACAAATATCATGGAGGACAAGGGGAGATGGAGAGGAGAAGGGAGCTGAGGGTAATTGGAAGGGGAGGTGAACCATGAGAGACTATGGACTCTGAAAAACAATCTGAGGGTTTTGAAGGGGTGGGGGGGTGGGAGGTTGGGGGAACCAGGTGGTGGGTATTGGAGAGGGCACAGATTGCATAGAGCACTGGGTGTGGTGCAAAAACAATGAATACTGTTACGCTGAAAAAAATTTTAAAAATTAAAAAAAAGTTGTACGTCAACAATGACATAAACTAAACAAAATGGACAAATTTCTAGAGATCCCCAAAGCACCAAAACTGGGTAGGAAGACTAAACAGATAACCCACATGCAACAATGAAATAGTTTCTATTACAAATTTTAAAAAGTCTTTAAGTAGAGCATGAGTTTGTGATGAGTACAGGGTGTTATATGCAACTAATGAAGCGTTGAACTCTATATCAAAAATTAATGAAAGGGGAGAGATAACGACGAAGACCAAGGAAAGAGAAACAATCATCTGAAATTATTATCAACTGTTACATGCCAATAAGTTAAGTAACCTAGAAGAAATGGATGCATTCCTGTAAACCTATAAACTTCCAAGACTGAATCAGGAAGAAACTGACAACCTGAATAGACCAATATCTAGTAACCAGATTGAAGAAGTTATCAAAAACCACCCAAAAAAACAAGAGCCCAGGACCTGATGGATTCCCTGGGGAATTCTACCAAACATTCAAAGAAAAAAATAATACTAATAATAATACTAAAAATAAAAAAATAATAATAGCTTCCCCTGAGGCTGTTTAAAAAAATAGAAACAGAAGGAAAACTCCCAGGCTTTTTCTATGAAGCCGGCATTACTCTAATCCCCAAACCAGGCAAAGACCCCATCAAAAAGGAGAATTTCAGACCAATATCCCTGATGAATATGGATCCCAAGATTGTCAACAAGATCCTAGCTAATAGGATCCAACAGTACATTAAAAAGATTATTCACCACGACCAGGTGGGATTTATCCCTGGGATGCAAGGTTGGTTCAACATTCTCAAATCAATCAGTGTGATAGAGCAAATCAATAAGAAAAGAGTGAAGAACCCCATGGTCCTCTCAATTAATGCAGAAAAAGCATCTGGCAAGATGCAGCATCTATTCTTGATTTAAACTCTTCAAAGTATAGGGATTGAGGGAACATTCAACTTCATAAAATATACCTATCTAATAGAATGTATTCTATATAATATATCTATATCTATATATCTAAATAATATATATACTTATTTACAATATATATTATATATCTATATAATAGAAGATATTCTATATGTCTATATAATATATATAATATATTATATATATATCTATATAATAAAATATATCTATATCTATGTATCTATATAAATGTATCTAAATATAAATAAAATATATCTATGAAAAACTAACAGTGAATATCATTCTCTATAGGGAAAAGCTGACAGCCTTCCCTTTGAGATCAGGAATAGTACAAGGAGGCACACTCTCACCACTCTTGTTCAACGTAGTACTAGAATTCCTAGCAAGAGCAAACAGACAACAAAAAGAAATAAAGTGTATTCAAATTCATAAAGAAAAAATCTAAGTCTCTCTCTTCACAAATTACATAAAACTTTCTATGAAAAACCCAAAAGACTCCACCCCCAAATTACTAGAACTCATATAGCAATTCAGTAATGTGGCAGGATACAAAATTAATGTACAGAAATCAGTTGCTTTCTTATACAATAACAATAAAAATATAGAAAAGGAAATTAGAGAATCAATTCCATTTGCTATAGCACCAAAAACCATAAGATACGTGGGAATAAACCTAACCAAAGAGGTCTGTACTCGAGGAACTACAGAACACTCATGAAAGAAATTTAAGAAGACACAAAAAGATGGAAATCATGTATCAAAAGAATAAACATTGTTAAAATGTCTATACTTCCTAGAGCAATTTATACTTTCAATGCTATTCAGATCAAAATTCCTCTGACATTTTTCAAAGTGCTGGAACAAACAATCTTAAAATTTGTATGGAATCAAAAGAGACCCTGAATTGCTAAGGAAATGTTGAAAAAGAAAAACAAAACTGGGAACATCACGTTGCCTGATTTTAAGCTTTATACAAAGCTGTGATCAACAAGACAGCATGGTACTGGCACAAAAACAGACACATAGACCAGTGGAACAGAGCAGAGAGTCCAGATATGGTCCCACAACTCTATGGGCCAATAATTTTCAACAAGGCAGGAAAAAATATCCAGTGGAAAAATGACTCTTTCTTCAATAAATGGTGGTGAGTAATTCGGATAGCTATGTATAGAAGAATGAAACTCGACCATTCTCTTACATCATACACAAAGATAAACTCGAAACGGATAAAAGACCTCAATGTGAGACAGGAATCCATCAGAATCCTAGAGAAGAACATAGGCAGTGACCTCTCTGACATCGGCCACAGCAACTTCTTTCAACACATATCTCCAAAGGCAAAGGAAACAAAAGCAAAAATGAACTTTTGGGACTTCATCAAGATCAAAAGCTTCTGCACAGCAAAGAAACAGTCAACAAAACAAAGAGGCCACCCATGGAATGGGAGAAGATATTCACAATTTACAGTACAGACAAAGGGCTGATATCCAGGATCTATAAAGAACACCTCAAACTCCACACACACAAAACAGATAATCATGTCAAAAAATGGGCAGAACACATGAGCAGACACTTCTCTAATGAAGACATATAAATGGCTATCAGACACATGAAGAAATGTTCATCATCACTAGCCATCAGGGAGATTAAAATCCAAACCACACTGAGATAGCACTTTACACCAGTTAGAATGGCCAAAATTAACAAGACAGGAAACAACGTGTATTGGAGAGGATGTGGAGAAAAGAGAAGCCTCTTACACTGTTGGTGGGAATGCAAGTTGGTGCAGCCACTTTGGAGAACAGTGTGGAGATTTCTCAAGAAATTAAAAATAGAGCTTCCCTATGACCCTGTAATTGCACTACTGGGTATTTACCCCAAAGATACAGATGTAGTGAAAAGAAGGGCCATCCGTACTCCAATATTTATAGCAGCAATGGCCAAAGTCGCCAAACTGTGGAAAGAACCAAGATGCCCTTCAACGGACGAATGGATAAGGAAGATGTGGTCCATATACACTATGGAGTATTATGCCTCTATCAGAAAGGTTGAATACCCAACTTTTGTATGAACATGGATCGGACTTGAAGAGATTATGCTGAGTGAAATAAATCAAGCAGAGAGAATCAACTACCATATCGTTTCACTTATTTGTGGAGCATAGGAAATAACACGGAGGACATGGCTAGATGGAGAGGAGAAGGGAGTTGGGAGAAATTGGAGGGGGAGACGAACCATGAGAGACTGTGGATTCTGATAAACAATCTGAGGGTTTGAAGGGGTGGAAGGTGGGAGGTTGGGTGATCCTGGTGGTGGGTATTATGGGGGGCATGTATTGCATGGAGCACTGAGTGTGGTGCATGAACAATGAATTCTGGTACACTGAAAAGAAATTTAAAAAAATAAAAAAATTTTTAAAAAAGACAGGGATTTTAATAGAGATTGCACTGAATATGTGTATCATTTTGAGCAGTATAGACATTTTAACAATATTCTTCTAGCCCATGAACAGAAGACAGCATTCCATTTGTTTGTGTCCTTAATTTCTTTCAGCAATGTTTTGTAATTTGCAATGTACACATCTTTCATCTCCTCGACTTAATTTATTCCTGAGTGTTATATTCTTTTCTGTGCTATTTTAAATGGAAATGTTTTCCTAATGTCATTTTCAGGTGGCACCTTGCTATTGTTTAGAAACAGAACTGATTTTTTATATGTTGCATTTTTATCCTGCAACATTATGGGATTCACAGAAAGACAAAGAGAACATGATTTCACTTACATGAGGCACCTAAAATAGTCAAAATCATGGGCGGTCTTTGTCAGCTTCCACCATGGTGCACTGTGGCCAGGCCCAAAGAATGCAGAAGGTGATGGTTCAGCCCATCAACCTCATCTTCAGATACTTGCAAATTAGATATCAGATTCAGGTGAGGCCTTATGAGCAAGTGATCATGCAGATAGAGGGTTATATCATTGGTTTTGATGAGTTCATGAACCTCACATTAGGTGATGCTGAAGAGAGTCAATCTGAGACAAATTCAAGAAAACAACTGGATTGAATTGTGCTAAAAGGAGATAATATTACCCTCCTCTAAAGTGTCTCCAACTAGAAATGATCAACAAAGTGAGAAATTCTTGAGACAGTCATTTTGTTTGTTTTCTTAGATGTCCTTTATTTGGAAATGTAGTTCTAAAACTTTTGTTTGTATTGTTTTGACTACCTCTGTGTTATTACCAGAGGACAATAAATGCTGTGGTATTGTTTGTATTTTAAAAAATAGTCAAACTCATAGAATCAAAGAATAAGATGGTGGTTACCAGGGACTGGGAATGGGGGAAATGGGGAGTTGCCAATCAGTGGGCATAAACTTTTGTTGCACAACATGAATAATTCTAAAGATCTGCTGTACATCACTGTGCCTATAATTAGCAATACTGTATTATATGCTCAAAGAGATTTTTTTGAGAAGGTGGATATCATGTTAAGTGTTCTTACCATAATAAAACAAAACAAAATAAAGACAACTGTGCCATCCCAAATAAAAATAAAAATTAAAAAAAAAACAGATAATCACATCAAAAAAATGTGCAGAATACATGACCAGACACTTATCCAAAGAAGACATACAAATGGCTAACAAACACATGAAAACAAGTTCATCATCACTAGCCATCAGGGAGATTCAAATCAAAACCACATTGAGATAGCACCTTAAACCAGTTAGAATGCCCAGAATTAACAAGACAGGAAACAACAGGTGTTGGAGAGGATGTGGAGAAAGGGAACCCTCTTACACTGTTGGTGGAAAGGTAAGTTAGTGCAGCCACTTTGGAGAACAGTGTGGAGATTCCATAAGAAATTAAAAATAGAGCTACCTTATGACCCTGCAATTGCCATACTGGCTTTTTACTCCAAAGATACAGACATAGTGAAAAGAAAGGCCATATGTACTCCAGTGTTCATAGCAGCAATGGCCACAGTGGCCAAACTGTAGAAAGAGCCAAGATGCCCTTTGAAAGACGAATGGATAAAGAAGATATGGTCCATATACACAATGGAATATTACACCTCCATCAGAATGGATGAATACCCAACTTTTGTATCAACATGGATGGGACTGGAGGAGATTATGCTGAGTGAAATAAGTTAAGCAGAGAGAGTCAATTATCATATGGATTCACTTACTTGTGCATCATAAGGAATAACACGGAGAACTTTGAGAGAAGGAGAGGAGAAGGGAGTTGGGGGAAATCGGAAAGGGAGACAAGCTATGAGAGACTGTGGATTCTGAGAAACGAACAGGATTTTGGAAGGGAGGGAGATGAGGGGTTGGGTGAGCCTGTTGGTGGATATTAAGGAGGGTATGTATTGCATGGAGCTCTGGGTGTGGTGCATAAACAATGAATCTTAGAACACTGAAAAAGTAAAATAAATTTTAGGTTAAAAATAATAATTATTTTGATTTAACAATATATTTAAAGATCAAAAACATTAATGGTGTAATATATCTTGGCTAACTGTACATAGTAAAAAAGGGAAATTTTAAAATGTCTATAATCAGATGGCTTCACTTATGATTTCTTCCAAACATTAGAAGAATAAACACCAACCCTTCCCAAACTATCTCATTATATGAGACTAGTAATACCATGATATCAAAACATCATGACAGAAATCATTGAGAAAACACTAGCAGTCTTAATCTACCAAGTGTAAGGTTTATATACCATGATCAAGTGGGATTTATTCCAGGAACCCAAGGTTCCCTCAACATACCCAAATCTATCAGGTTATTACACCATATTAATAAACAACAAAACCACAGGATCCTCTCAATAGATGCAGGGAAAGCATTTCACAACACCCAACACCACTTTATGATAAAAGGAAAACACACTGAGGAAAAAACTAAAAAAATTGGAAGGAACATCATCACCCTGATAAAGAGTATCTAAGAAAAGCTCAGAGCTAATACCATCCATACTCAGTGGTGATAGACTAAAATTTTTTCACCTGAGGTCAGGAAAAAGACAATGTCTATTCTTACCACTCCTATTCAGCATGGTACTAGAGGTTCTTGGCAGGACAATTAGAAAACAAAAACTAACAGAAGTCATTCAGATTGGAAAGAAGTAAATAAAACTATTTTTTGCTTGTTTGCAGATGATATGATCTTGTATGTAGTGTACCCAAAAGAATCCCACAAAATAAAAAAAAAAAAAATTACAAGTTGGCAAGGTTACAGGATACAAGAGCAGTAACAAAATTCATGTGCACTTCTATGCACTAGTACTGAAATGGATTTAAGAAGACAATTCCAGTAGTTTTCCCATGTATCTGCTCTGTGCTCATTCTGTCCCAGAAAAGTTCACTCTGTGTGAACATGGTGATTTAAACCTATTGTGGGTCACAGCGAAAAGCTGCTACAAGGATACCTACCTTTTCCCCACAAAATACTTAGAAATAAACTTAATAACAGAGATACAAGGATTTGTACACTGAAAGCTACAAAATATCATTGAAGGAAATTAAGGACTCCTATATGTGAAAAGACATTCTCTGCCCAGAACCAGAAGACTTAATATGATTAAGATGACAATATTCAAGGGGAGAGTTAAAATGGAGGAGTAGTAGTTGGACCCTGAGCTTTCCTCATCCCTCAAATACAACTAGATCAACATCCAACTATTCGGAACAGCTAGGAATATGATCTGAGGATTAAGAAAGCAATCTGCACAGTTGGAGGCAGAGTACATGGCAGATTCGAGATTCAGAGCCATGAATCCAGGGAGAGGAAAGTTGTGGGGCCTCAAAGGGGAGGGAACCCTTTTTGTAGAGCAAAATCAAGGAGAGGGAGAGCAGGAGAGAGTGCACCCAGTAGGGATTACACAATAAGCCTCAGTAAGGAGATCCCCTCAGTTCCTGCCAGGAGAGATCACTCCTCTTCCTGGAGTACATTTGGAAGTGCATACTTTAGGTACATTTGGAAGAGCATAATTTACCTCTACAAGGACAAAATGGCAGATGGGAGCCACTGAAAGACACTCAACAGCAGGGACAGAGGTGTGTGCAAAGGGCAGATACCTTTGTAGCACCTTTTCTCTGTGAGCTACAATAGGCTTCAATCACCTTGTGCACACCAAGTGGGTGCTTTTCTGGGACAGAACTGACCAGAGAAAAGTTACACACCCAGACAGCAGATAACCTGGCTGCCACTTTCCATTGTCTGCCAAAATAGATTCAAGCTTCTGTATGACTGGTTCTCTGGGACAAAATGAAGAGTAGGAGACTGAGTAATGCCAGATGGCAGATAACCTTGCTGCAGCTTTTCACTGTGTGTCACAATAAACTTTAGCCTCCATGCACACTCTGTGATTGTTTTTCTGGGAGAGGATGATGCTGGGTGTGCCACAAGTCTCTCCTCCAGGGGAAGGGACTGGGTTTGTTTATTGCCAGGCCCTTTAAAACTTGGGGTTTTGAATCCCAGCACAAGTATCTCCCTGCAAAACCAACACTACCAGGGCAACACCCCTACATATTATAGTGAAGCTTGAAGATTACAAAGATAAAGAGAAAGTCCTGAAAGCAACTGGGGACAAGTGGTCCTTAAAATACATGGTTAAACACATAAGGCTGGCAGTAGACCTGCCTACAGAGACCTGGCAGGTAAGGAAGGACTGGCATGATATATTCAATGTGCAAATGAGAAAAAATATGCAGGCAAGAATACTTTATTCAGCAAGGCTGTTATTCAGAAAGAAGGAGAGATAAAGAGTTTCCAAGACAAACAAACACTAAAGGAATTCATGAACACTAAACCAGCCCTACAAGAAATATTAAAGGGGACCCTAACAGCGGAGACAGAGACCAAAAGTCACAAAGTCCAAAAAGGAACAGAGACAATCTACAAGAACAGGGACTTTACAGGCAATACAATGGCACTAAATTCGTATCTTCCAAGAATTACTCTAAATGTAAATGGACAAAATGTTCCAATCAAAAGACAGAGGGCATCAGAATGGATTGAAAAGAAAAAAAGACCCATCAATCTGCTGCTTACAAGAGACTTGTTTGAACCCCAAGACACCTCCAGATTGACAGTGAGGGGACTGAGAAAAATTTATCTTGCTAATGGACATCAAGAGAAAGATAGAGTAGCCATTCACATAACAGACAAACTAAATTTTGGACCAAAAAGTGTAATAAGAGATGAAGTGGGACTATATCAAAATAAAGGGGTTTATCCAACAAGAAGATCAAACATTTGTAAATATTTATGCCCCTAACTTGGGAGCAGCCAAATATATCAGTCAATTAATAACAAAACTAAGAAAACATTTTTCAGGCAAGATGGTGGAGAAGTAGCAGGCTGAGATGACATCAGGCAGCAGGAGATCAGCTAGATAGCTTATCAAACAATTCTGAACACCTAAAAATCCAACAGGAGATTGAAGAGAAGAAGAGCAGCAATTCTAGAAACAGAAAATCGACCACTTTCTGAAAGGTAGGATTGGCGAAGAAGTGAATCGAAAGCGATAGGAAGATAGACCATGGGAGAGGGGCCAGCTCCCGGCAAGCAGTGGAGCAACAGAGCACAAAATCAGAACTTTTAAAAGTCTGCTCCACTGAGGGACATCGCTCCAGAAGCTAAACCGGGAGAAGCCCAAGTGGGGACAGCGTGAGAGATCCTGAGGTCCTGAGGGGTCACAGAAGGATCAGGGGTGTCTGAATGTAGCAGCACTCACAGGTATTAGAGCAGAGAAGCTGGCTACAGAGACAGAGCTGAGGAGTGAGCTCTCAACTCGGGGTTATCATAAATTGTGTGGCACAAGCCACTGTTCTGTGAGCAGGGACCCCACAAGATCTGGGGAGACACCCCCTGGAAGAGTGCAGGGATCTGTGGGGTTTGGAGACTCCAAGCAGGGCTGTGTGCCAGAGACAGAGACGCTTGGTCAGAGGCTGGGTTGGCTCGGAGTGCAGCTGGAGGCCAGGGAGATGGAAGTGATTGAGTGCTTTTCTCTGAGGGCACACTAAGGAGTGGGGCCCCAAGCTCTCGGC